TGGCCTCATTGGTTCAGTCTTCTCATCTGTAAAACCGTCATCGTAACTAAATCACCCCCGATGTCCTGAGGACTGAGGTGGTGCACACAGCACTAGGCCAGTGCCTGCAGGGTGGCCGCTTAGGGCAGGAAGTCTGAGGTTTTAATTTTTCATGCCCATTATTTAGAACATCTTTGGTTACCGGTTTTTTATGTGAAGAGTGCTGATCCTCTTGAATTCTTCCCATGAAGAGTTAACATAGCTGCTTAGTCATTGGGATCATGTGATGCGCAATCAGTGTGCTCTGATATTTCATCTAAAAAAAACAGGTTATTGGAGTTTGCTTCACATTCATGATCAGTATCACTGCATAAAAGGAGCTTCAGAGCTGGCCCCATGTATAGCCACATGGCCCTCTTTCGCTGAGCCGCCTTTAAAAAACAGCGAGCCAAACTTCTCATCAGCAGAAGCAGGTTTAAATGGGCATATCTTGGAGAATGTGTATGTGTGTGAAATAGTAAATCTGGTGGTTTATGAACTTTGAGGTGAATACATTTTTTTGAAGAAATGGTTTTCTTGGGCTGTGGGGACTGAAATGCTCAGGACACAGTTTGTTCCTGGACTTCCTGAAGGGTTTCTTAGGTTTCTTGGCTGCTCTTCTCAACCCGAGGAGCTGAGGCGGGAGGGACAAGGGAAATGCTTTGTCAGAGAGATGTTGGGGCAGACTCTTCGGACGCAGGGACTCCATCACGTGGTTGCATGTTGTCCTCTGCTGCATTTGTGATGTCAGATGGGCTGGAACCACACCGGTTGTGTTAGGGGCACTCGTTTTGCTCTAGTGTCACCCCTGACCACTGCCCCGTCAGAGTGAGCCGAGGGCCAGGAGGGTCTCGCTGAGCACGTACATCCTGGTCCTAAGCACCGGCATTGGCCCACCAGCCGGATTGGCTTTGCTGGGCCTCACATCAGAGTACGGAAGTGAAACGTCTGTAAGCGGAATTCTGTACCCGCTTAATTGTTCTTGGTGTTTATTTGAATAAGTGGATTTAAGTGGGAACTGATAGTTGGTGAGTGGTTGGGAGCCTCTTAAATATTTGTGAGAGAACTGTGTATTTAATACGTTATTTGTCTAGTTCTTCTTACCTAAATGAGGACCCTCATATGCCTGGCGTGCACTGACAGTTCCATTTGAAGGAACCCGGATGGCCATCACTAACGGTTTCACAGGTCGAAGAGCACCTGCCTGTTGCCGGGGGCAGCACTGTGTGCTGTGACATGTTGGTTATCCCTCATGGAGCCCTCAGGAGCGGGTGCTGGTTTTATTCCCCAGGGAGACGGGGAGGCGCAGGAAGCCGGGAAACGATAGAGCGTGGACCCAGCCCTCGGGGCCCCTGCTCTCCCCCAGGCCGGCTGCCTATGGAAGTTCTCAGAGGGCTCGCAGCCCTTCGGGAGCCGCTGGTGTAGCGGATTCCTGTCATGGATCGCAAGATGAAAGGACCCGGCAAGCCTGTGGGCCTGGCTGCTTTGGGGGTGGTGGTTTTTAAAATCACCTCCCAGCTAAGTGTTCTGTCACTGTATGGCCACTGGACTCTAGCCTCACCCAGCCCATGTGCCTCAATGATTTATTCTGGCTGGAGCCTGATGCTCTGTCTGGCTTTAAGACAGCGGCTTTCTTTGTCGAGGGGCGACACACGTCCTGGATTTTACAGATTGTCCTAGAACAGTACCCTAGTTCGGAAGGTAAACTAAATGGCTGACCTAGATATTAGAAGAAAGCTGTTGGATTTGGTCGTTATTTCTAATTAGAAGTGGAAGGAGTTCAGTAGCTGACTGAAATGTCTTGCCTGTTTTCCTAGTTGTTAGACATAGCAGGTGTGTGTGTTTCTTTGGGTTCCTCTCTGGGAAGGAGCCCTTATGGTGGGGAGGAGGCTGGTTCAGAACACCCCTGTGCTCAAGGTCTGGCTCAGTCTGCTCTGTCCGTGGCCACCAGGGGACCATTGCTTTATGCTTCCTACAAATACCCTTCTCGCTGTAGAAACAACTGTTTTCTTAAAAATGTACTGCCAGTAAACCATTCCCATAGTACTGTACCTGCTGTCCCACAATCTCACTGGAGGTTTACTGGGACTGTGAACCAGCTTAGTCCAAGAAATTAAAAACAGAACAAACACAAAAGCTTCGCTTTTTAGCTGAAGAAAACATTTTTCCATGTGCCTTCTTTTCTAAAAATAAAAGAATGCTGGATAGTGTTCACTGTAGAGTTGGCCTCCGTAGCCACAGGTTTTGCATTTGCAGATTGAACCAAAAGCAAATCAAAAATATTTTGGGGAGAAAAAAAAATGCCAGAAAGTTCCAAAAGCAAAACTTGGGTCAGCCACACTAGACCTCATCCAGGAGAAAGCAGTGACATGGGGCGCTCCCTGCCGGAGCCAATGCAGATGGGGGTATGTGCTGGCACTGCCCCCTTGTCTAGGAGGGACTGCGTGCTGGCGGATTGAAGGATCGGGGGGAGCCTGGAACCAGCTCCCCCGCCCCCTATCTTGGGGCAGCTGTTATAGAAATAAACGTTTGCTGCTTTAAAAAGGAGAGAAAAAAACATGTAGAACTGACATTGTATATTTTATTTGGAGTCACTTTTAAGGATTGCATAATTTATCTCCTAAAGTTCTGAAGTTCAGAATGTGAAATATTAAGGATTCTCTATGTTTTCAACTAAATTGACCTATTTTTGGTTTTGTTTTTCCCTTTTCAGTCTTTACCAGGTCCTTGTCTCTGGAAGTTTTTGTTTAAATTGGAAAAGTCTTAAGCCTGCCCACAGACCTGGGTGTCCCCAGGGTGTCGGCAGTGGTGGGTGAAGAGTGGAAGCCTAGGCAGGGAGTGGACGCGGCCACTGGCTCCGACTCCCACTCCCGTCCCCTCCCGTGGGCAGGCTGCTCTGGCTGTGGTTCCGGAGCAGGCAGAGGTGAGACCTCGCCTCTGGGGCTGGAGTCTGAGCACCGGCAGGGAGCAGCCTGGGCCCGGCCTGTGCTGACAGGCGGCACTGATAGAGGGGCATGGCGACGGAAGGACGCGCTTGTTTTGTTTCTAAGAAAAAGCTGCTGCGGCTGCCGCTGCAGCACCCCCTGCACCCCTCCCCTGCACCCCTCCAACAAAACCCACTCCGGTGCCTGTCCCTTCCTGGAAGCACAGGTCTGCTGCTGCCCTCTGCCCAGGGAGCTGGGCTGCTCTGTGTGGAAACCAGGCCAGGGGGCGGGGGAGCTCTGGGGGCAGGTTCGCCGGCCACAGCAGTTCTCCCTCTCCGTGCGGACCTGATCCTGTTTCCCAATATTGGCCATCTGATTAGACTATGAAAAGTTAGGTGCTTCTTTCTAAAAATGATCAAATACCTTTTTAAAACCAGGAAGTCCTTGTCGGTGGAAGAGTGACTCGGACTCTGCCTGCCTCAGGGTTTGCACTGGGAGTCCCGCTCTGGCTGCGCTGGGCTCTGCCTCGGCCCAGTCCTCACTGACACTGCCTCTGGGAGGAAGGATTTCCGCCACTCCCTTTGGGTCATGATCGCAGTGCCTCACGCTTAACACAGCATCAGGCCGGCACGCGGGCGCTGGCTCTCTGGGCAGATGCATGAACGAGGCCCGTGAGCCTAACCCGGCAGGGGTCTCACCGCTGGCTTCCTGGGGTTAGTCCTGGGTCTGTGGAGAGCAGTTCTGAAAAGAGGTAGCTTTAGTGTCATTTATAGGCCTTCAGTGTGCTGCTTATTTTTAAAGAAAAATGCCTAGATTCACCAAGAACGTGCTTTGCCACGCAGAGAAAAACATTTCACGCAGCTTGCTGCATCACGAGAAGGCAGGGTTTGCTTATTTTTCTTTTTTTGAAGGTAGAGTTTGAACGACAATGTTCTTCATGTTGATCTGTGGGCTACCATGACAATTAACTGAAGATCAGAATTTATCTCTTTTCCAGGAGAAAAACCAACAAATCTGTAAAATTGATTTTAAGTACATTTCAATGTGTTTTGCAGAGTGATTTTCTTAATCCAGATTGAAAAATTCCTGCCTCACTGACTGAAGATGATTGACAGATGTCTGTTTTGTTGAGATTTGGAAGCTATAATAAAAATTGAATTATTTTTCAGTCTTCCAGGAAACTCTCCTCTTCCTCCTCTCCCTGCTTTCTATATCTTTCAACAGGAAAGCATTAAAAGAAAAAAACAAACAAAAAAACACTCAACAAAATCAAGCCTTGGTCGGTGCTTTTATCTGCTCAGAGGTTTTCTTGGAAATAATTGTCTGATGAAGAGGAAGGAAAGGAGATGGCCTTGAACTTTTTAAATCATTCAGTGTCTTCTGCTATCAGAGAATGAAATTTGGGTTATTTCTGAGTTTTATGTTCTTTGTGTGTGAGTGACGTGCCCTTTCCCCGTTAGAGCAGGAGTCGCCTCACAGTGTCTAGGTTCCCGTGTGTCATTAGCACAGGTGGACATGTTCAGTAGGAATCTGGGAACGCTTTAGCATTAGGTTTGCACAGACTAAGCGATGCTTGCTTCCTGTTTGGGGGAGATGACACTGGGAAGTTCACCTCTCTCCGGGGACTTCCTGGCCACCATGTTTCTCTGGGGATTTATAGTATTTGAAGGTTCATTTTGATGCTCCTTATGAATAATTAGTGTTTTTTTCCTTAAAGGTGCTGTAAGAAATTGGTGCCTGTTCCAGTCTGAGACACCATAGTAAGAACAAAAGGGCAGTGTCACGGCCAACAGCTCTTAGTGCTAGAGAAGTTAGGCCATTTAATTATGAGGTCAATTAATTTATTCTTAGTTCAAAATGATTAATTTTCACTGACTTTTAATATCAGCTATGATGGTATGGATTGCTCTTTCCTGTGGAAATGAAATATATTTTCAGGTTTTTTTCTTTTTGTACAGAATGCCTTGTTGCGCCGTTTTGTTAGACTGAACATTTCCTCACACTTGGTGAGCGCTTCCTCTAATTCAACCTTTGTCTTTTGTCTTTGCTGCCTTGCAGGGTTGGTACAGTAGGCTTCACTAGACTTAGCTGCAACTCAGAGTCTCTCCTCCCGCACCCGAGCAAATGCTGACGGTCTTGTGAGAGTGGATTAAGAGTACGCGCTAAGTTCTCAATCCCCATTACGAAGCGGAGGACAATTAAACTGTCTCCTGCCACGTTTATCACACCACCACCATCAAGACAGCAAACCAAAGGACAAAGACTGGCCTGCCTGTGGCCCTGTAGTCCAGGTCACGTTCCGTTTTCGGCCCTGGCTGGGCCTCTAATGAGTAAATAAAAGGCGGACGCTTCTGTTACTGGACACCGTGGTTCCCAAAGTTCCCAAAATGAGGGCCGTGTTGGAGACGGCAGACATTGCCATCGTGGCCCTGTACTTTGTCCTGGTCCTGTGCATTGGTTTCTTTGCCATGTGGAAGTCTAATAGGAGCACCGTGAGTGGGTACTTCCTGGCGGGGCGCTCCATGACCTGGGTAGCGATCGGGGCCTCTCTGTTTGTGAGCAACATTGGGAGTGAGCACTTCATTGGGCTGGCGGGATCTGGAGCTGCCAGCGGATTTGCAGTCGGTGCCTGGGAATTCAATGCCTTACTGCTGTTGCAACTGCTGGGCTGGGTTTTCGTCCCGATTTACATCCGGTCGGGGGTGTACACCATGCCGGAGTACCTGTCCAAGCGTTTCGGTGGCCATAGGATTCAGGTCTATTTCGCAGCCTTGTCTCTGATCCTCTATATCTTCACCAAGCTCTCCGTGGACCTGTACTCCGGCGCCCTCTTCATCCAGGAGTCTCTGGGCTGGAACCTGTATGTGTCCGTCATCCTGCTCATCGGCATGACCGCCTTGCTGACCGTCACCGGAGGCCTGGTCGCGGTCATCTACACAGACACACTGCAGGCGCTGCTCATGATCGTTGGCGCGCTCACACTCATGGTCATCAGCATGGTGGAGGTTGGCGGGTTTGAGGAAGTTAAGCGAAGGTACATGCTGGCCTCACCCAACGTCACTTCCATCTTGCTGACCTACAACCTTTCCAACACCAATTCCTGTAAAGTCCAGCCTAAGAAAAACGCCCTGAAAATGTTGCGGGGTCCGACGGACGAAGACGTGCCTTGGCCTGGATTCCTCCTCGGGCAGACCCCGGCCTCCGTGTGGTACTGGTGCGCCGACCAGGTCATCGTGCAGAGGGTGCTGGCCGCCAAGAACATCGCGCACGCCAAAGGCTCCACGCTGATGGCCGGCTTCCTCAAGCTGCTGCCCATGTTCATCATCGTGGTCCCCGGCATGATTTCCAGGATACTGTTTGCTGACGACATAGCTTGCATCAACCCGGAGCACTGCATGCAGGTGTGCGGGAGCAGGGCCGGCTGCTCCAACATCGCGTACCCGCGCCTGGTGATGAAGCTGGTCCCCGTGGGCCTCCGCGGCCTGATGATGGCGGTGATGATCGCAGCTCTGATGAGCGACTTGGACTCCATCTTTAACAGCGCCAGCACCATCTTCACCCTGGACGTGTACAAGCTCGTCCGCAAGAACGCCAGCTCCCGGGAGCTGATGATCGTGGGCAGGGTCTTCGTGGCTTTCATGGTGGCCATCAGCATCGCCTGGGTGCCCATCATCGTGGAGATGCAAGGCGGCCAAATGTACCTGTACATCCAGGAGGTGGCCGATTACCTGACTCCCCCCGTGGCGGCCCTGTTCCTTCTGGCCATCTTCTGGAAGCGCTGCAACGAGCAAGGGGCTTTCTACGGCGGAGTGGCTGGCTTTGTCCTCGGGGCGGTGCGCTTAATCCTGGCCTTCACCTACCGGGCCCCGGAGTGCGACCAGCCCGACAACAGGCCGGGCTTCATCAAGGACATTCACTACATGTACGTGGCCACGGCGCTGTTCTGGGTCACTGGACTCATTACTGTGATTGTCAGCCTTCTCACGGCACCTCCCACGAAGGAGCAGATCCGTACCACCACCTTCTGGTCGAAGAAGAGCGTGGTGGCGGAGGAGAGCTGCTCCCCGAAGGACGAGCCTTACAAAATGCAGGAGAAGAGCATCCTGCGGTGCAGTGAGAACAGTGAGCCCAGTGAGCACGTCATTCCCAACGGGAAGTCGGAAGATAGCATTAAGGGCCTTCAGCAGGAAGATGTCAATCTCCTGGGGACCTGCAGAGAGGAGGGCCCCCCCGTGGCTTCCTTAGGCCACTCAGAGGCAGAAACCCCAGTGGATGCTTACTCCAACGGGCAGGCCGCTCTCATGGGGGAAAAGGAGAGAAAGAAAGAAGCAGAGGATGCAGGTCGCTGCTGCAAGTTAATAGATTGGTTCTGTGGCTTTAAAAGTAAGAGCCTCAGCAAGAGGAGCCTCAGAGACCTGATGGAGGAGGAGGCCGTCTGTTTACAGATGTTGGAAGAGCCTCCACATATTAAGCTAATACTGAACATTGGGCTTTTTGCTGTGTGTTCACTTGGAATTTTCATGTTTGTTTATTTTTCCTTATGAACTTTTAAGGATATGGTGAGACAGTAACTTAAGAAAATACTGGTCTTTGGGGGGATAAAAAAACAACTTACGTAACTGTTGCATCTTTCAGGCATTGTTTACGCTGTAGGTTTTAGCCAATTTTTACTTAGCAGAACATCATCTATTTGCAAGACTTTATTTCTCCAGAGACGGATGAAAGTAAATTTTCAACCTAAATGAAGCAAAGCTTGTTTAATAGACTGAATTGTGCAAATGTGGTTTAAAGTTTTTCATACCAAAGTAAGACCAATTATTCTCACAGAGCAAGTAGAGCAGATACAAGCCGTCACAAGAAAGTGAACTGACTGCACTGCCAGGTCCTGGTAGGTCTTAACCGGAAGAGGACTTGCTCATTTCCCAGTTTCTCCTGTCTCTGTAACCCCTACCACCAGTTTTTAAAAAGCTGCACTTGTAGACATTGTATAATCAATGATGTACTGGAAATCTAACCCCTGTGCTAGTGAGGTACTTGTTTCAGGACAAGCCAGTCAGTTGCCAGGTTCATTTGGTTAGCAGGAGCCTATGGATTCTGATTGCCAGAAGGAAGGAAGAGGATCTTTCTGTGGCTGTTCTGGTACCACCGGTACTTGCAGTGCTGGGGGAAAGTTTGTTCAGTTTCTTTTCCCCACTTCGAATTTTAGTGAACCATACTCAGAGGACCACCACGTTTGTCTGCAAATGAAGTTCTATGTCATTATTGCATTTTTAAGTGGTTATGGGGGAAGATGAAGTAAACGTTGCTGATGACCTCCCCATTCGTTGGCCAAGTTCAGGTGGTTCCTATTGTTGGGAATTGTGCAGCCCCTGAGCAGTGTTTGATCAGCGTGTGCTAAGCAGGCGATTGCTTGTACTCCACTACTTCTCTAGGTGTGTTCTTGGCATTCGGTGACATTCTTTCCTAGCCAGATGCCTTCCCAAGTAGATCCAGGTGGAAGTTATGTTCAGAAACCGGAAGAAAAGTGGACACTGCCTTTGTGCGGGTTGTCCCGCTTGATCAGATCACTGAGACTGTCTAGAGGGAAAATTTAATTCTGAGATCATACTGGATTCTTGATAAGTGTTTTTCTTGATACACCTTTTCAAAAGACTTACCATCCGTACCCGCCCTATACATTTTTGCTTAAAAAGTTAAGTGACTTAGAGCATAGAAGATGTTTGAATGCAAACTGGCCATGAGGGACAGGACACTCGGTGCATGCTTTGCCGTAGGTAGTTTATCAGTAGAGTCCTCACAGGATGGACAGCATGTGTGCGTGCTGTGGGCAGGAGCTCCTGGTTTCGTAGCATGTCTCCCGGAGGGTCACAGGACCTGTGTGATCACAGACCCTTTCTCTGGACTCGGCCTGGCTCACCGCTGCAGCCTCCGTAGGTGGGACTCGGCCTGGCTCACCGCTGCAGCCCCCGTAGGTGGGACTCGGCCTGGCTCACCGCTGCAACCCCCATAGGTGGGACTTGGCCTGGCGGGCTGATGGCCCCCGGGGACAAGGTGAGGGAGGTGTCGGAGGGGCTCTGCAGGCTCTGGGTCTTTGTCTGTCAGCACCGTGCCCGCCCTGCTCCGTGACAGGAAGGACACTGCCCGTGTATCTTCTTTCTTTGACCTTTCTGTACTCTCTGGCACTTTTTAAATCGCATGGTTTTATTAAGCTTATATTTAGGCAAATTATTACTTTTTAAGGTACTTTTGTAGGTTTTGAATCAAAACTCAGTCCTAATGACATTAACTATTTTGTATTCTGTAAACCAGTTGCATTAATGATGGGCTTGATTAGTCCAAAGTTGACTTAGAAATGATCGGGAAGCTCAGTGTCTTCCCACCACCGGAGGCTTTCTGATGGACTGAGGCTGTAGCCGAGAAAGTACAGTACTTCTCTGTGAATAGCATGGTTGTTGAGAGCTTACAGTGCCTTGTAGAATTTTTTCTCGATTTCATTCCTAAGGTTTATAAGTTGGGGGCCAAATAAATAGGGACCATCCTCTTCTGGTCTGGAGGCTGAGGCCGTGATGTCCAAGGTTATTGCCACCTCCACTGGAAGAACAGACAGCCAGGTGTCCAGCTCTGGACTCGTGGTTTGTTCATGGCTCGTCCTTTTCTCAAAGGAAGTTCCTCCTCTGAGATAGCCTTCTGCATCTGAGAAATGGTAGGATCTTGGACTTTTCACAATGCTGCTCAGTTGAGGAATTAGCACTTTCTTTGACTCCATTGCTGGTAGCTCAGCAGCGAGGACCGCCGTACTGGCTGGCAGCCTTCTCACCCTTCGCACTCACAGCATAAGTGAGTAGGTGGTGTTTGTGTAGACTCCCCCTTTATTTTATGTCGAGCCCTCACTTTGGATTGTCAGGGTTCCCCTGCCTCCTCTGTTGTCTTAGTATAATAGTGCAATGCATCATCTGTGTCTCTTCGTGTGTGTGTAGCAGTAGGTCAAGTTTAGAGTAGAAAGCCTGCACATAGGAATGACTATTAGCATACCGTTAGGGTTGTTTGTTCTTTGCAGTGTAAACACCACTTTGTTTAGACTGAAGGCCCTGCTGCTTCCCAGCAGTAGATAAGGTGCTTGTTTGAAGGATGCAGATTGCTGAGGGCAGCTTCATTCAGGGGTCATATCTCAGTCTAAGTTCATTAGAATGTTGTTCATGGAATGACACGTGGTCTGTCTTAAGCTAGTGAAAATGTTCACCCTTCACACTAAATGAGTCCTAAATGGTATTGATCTCTCTATATAGACATGTATATATTTTTATATTGGCTCAAGCTAAGGTTCAGAATTGACTGTGAGGAATAGTGACTAAGATAGTTGCGAGTCAAAATGAGGAGGGCACCGGTCTTCAAAGGGGAGGAGAGCTATGCGGCCCCAGGGCTTGATTTGTCCTTTAGGCCGTCTTAGTCTCAAGGTCTGATGAGAGAGCTCCTTACTCTGGTTTGCAGAATAATGGGACCTCTGATTCCTCTGGTCACCTGAGAGCGTTTTGTCCTGCCAGCCGAGGTGTAAGCAGCTTTAGAAACGAACACCCAGCCCGTTTCCCGGCTCCTCTTTCCTGTGCGGTCATCCCGCCGTCTCTACGGAGAGGCAGGAGCTCAGCGCTGTGTCCTGGGTCGGATCCCAGCTCCCAGCTCCAACACGTCCTGCTCCCTGGCTCCGAGGGCCATTGTCTGCGCTGAGAGGAGAGGGCCGCTCCGGCGGTGAGCAGGGACCCAGCACCTTGTGGAAAGGCTGGTAACAGCTCTAGCCTGAGGCGGAGGGGAGGGGAAGCTGCAGTGTGTCCTGGCTGTGGGGGCCAGGTCCCCGCTGTTCCAGGCACTCCATTGCTCCTTCCCTCTTCTGGGTGTGGGGATCTCCACCCCCACCCCGGATTAACATTTGATGTAGGTGATGAGTTAGTCTCATTTTGACCACCCTGCAGAATGGCTGTATTACCAGCCATTGAAAGAGCAGGCCGTCAGTGTTCCCGCTGGGAGTATCCGCTTACCGCTGTCCTATCCGTTACTCCTCTCTGCATCGCCATCCGAGATGCGGCGACTGGGAAGGACCACATGGCACTGGCAGTGACATCTCACCATGCCCAGGCTTGGGTTGAGAGGTGTAGCCAGACCATTCCTGTCAATCATGTGACTAGGAGACTTGCCAGGACAGAACCCTCCGGAGGAGTCAGGAGAACCTCAGAGCGGAGCTGAGAAGCACCTGGAGGTGCCGTTCGCAGGGCGGTGAGGACAGACATGAGCTTCTGAGCGGGTAGGATCACAGTCCTGATTCTCAGCATCTTGACTCTCAGCCATTTTACCCCTCCCCGTACAGCTTAGGGCCCCAGTAAGTAAGATGCAGCCTGTTCAGCCCGCTTTGATGTTATTTGTTGAAAATGTGTTTATTAACATAGTTGAGGTTAAAATGACTAACATTTGAATGGTTTTAGGCTTCAGTATTCATAAGGTTTCTTATTCGCCAAGTGTTAATGTTTAATCATTTCAGTGTTGAAGACTTGACTAGTAAGGGTCCATTTCTGTTTGCGAGAATCCCCATCCACCCTCCAAAGAGAGACTCACCCACCCTCCAGAGAGACACCCACCCACCCTCCAGAGAGACTGGTCTCCTCCCTGATTTCTCCTCCTTCAGATGCTTTAATTCTTCCCCTAGGCTTGGCCTTTTGTCCTCTTAGTTCATTTCCAGGATGATTGCTATGGTGTGCAAAAGCGCTGCTCTTAAGTGTGAAAACTTGTATCCAAGTAATGATTCATTAACTATAGATGTGTCTAAAAATATCACATTTCTATTAGCTTAACCTGTTAATTCTTAAGAATGATTTTCTCAGAGTTCGTGTTCACAAATAATAAAGGCCCCAATTCAGGATTTTATTCTCAAAAAATTAGGGAGACGGCAGTAATTAAATTCACGAGACCTTTTGAAATGACAGCCACAGTGCAGAGAGGAACGGTGTATTGCTGCCAAAAAGCCTTGCCCTTGCATTAATTAAAGTTGGAGTAAGCAGTAGGCATCTAGAGAAACCCTTTGTACTGGTTAGGTATGAAGGTGGACTGCACGAGCAGTGATCTCGGTTCCTGCATTTGGTTAGACTTGGTTGACTCCGCCCCTTTTCCTCCATTCAAGTCCCGTCTCTTCGTGGGCGTGCTGCTCGCCGCCTCGCTGTCAGAAGACTGGTGTTCAGCCACCTTTGCTCATCGCACAGCACTTGCCAGCGGCCCCGGATAATTACCAGGCGTGGCCAGCGCTGGGTCCCATACTCGATGCACTTACTCGTTTTTACGTGAGCTTCTCCCCCCACAGCCGGGAACAAGGCTTTCCACTGCTCACTGATTGCTGAAGGCATGCGGAGGCATCTGTTTTGGTTCCCATCTCAAACCCTTCTGAAAGGCAGATTGCGTTTTCAGTGCTGGGTTAGACATTCCTTCCATTCATGTGGTGCCAGCCTTGACCATGGGCAGAAGTAAACAGCGTGGTGTGTCTGTCATTCCTCAGGCCACGAACCTGACTTTTAGGGGAGCCCCATACTTGGAAGCTGTTGACATAACCATGAGCCTCCCTCGGCGATGACTTTTCCGTTTGTGGTGGTTGCCTGGTCGTGCAGCGTGCTTGAAGACAGAGGCCAGAATGAATGACGCGCTGAAGAGCAAGCCCAGACAGGCCCAGAGCTCCCAGCCTCCAGCAGTGGAGCGCAGCGGCTTTGCTCTCCTCAGAAAAGCGCTGTAACTGTTGCCGTGACATCCCCCTCCCACCCCCAGTTCAGGACATTTGCAGTCAGGAGCTCTGTAGGTAAGGGGGTACATATTTTAGTGACTTTGGCAATAGCGCAGCTTTCAGTAGATACCACAGCCTTATTGGAGACTGACTTCTCGGGAAATTCACCTCACTGCCCTCGTGCTGTGGATAAAGCAATGTTCCTTTTTTGTTAATGGTCTCTGGACTAACTAGTCTGGATAATTTTCCAGTATATCAGTGCAGCCTAGACTTCTTTAAGTGGAATGTTCGTTAATAGCTGGCTTTTTTGTTGTCAGAGTTGGAAACAAATTAAACTCGTTGCTGTTACTGAAATCCCAGATTGTCACAGGCCGTCAGAGTGCGTCTGTGACTGAATCCGCTCTGAGCTTTGCATTGTGACTAGTGCCTTCTGGTTCAGTGCTGATTGCCAGTTTACACCTTCCCTTTTCCTGACCAAAACTGGTTAGTTTCTCTTTTTAAACTTTGTTATTTATAGCTTTAGTGAGGGGAGTAAAAGTACATTTATATTTACGTACCTTTATGTAGCCTTTATTTAGGTTCAAGGAAACCAGGTAGCTCCAACAGCAGTTGCAGCTTAAATGTTATTTATTGTACATGCTTATTTCCTTAATTAAAAAGTAAGGTCACTTATATTAATTTTGTGAGTATGTCTTAACTTTGTCATTATCCAGTATAGGTTTGATAGATGTATCTGAGAACCTATATGTGACAGCAATTTCACATTCCATGATAGGGAAAAGCACAAAATCCTGCCCACACGTGTGTCTCCACATGTAGAAAGCACAAGAGTAACGGTACTCAGTATTCCACAAGTGCCAGCCATGGAACCCGGTTTGGGGTTCAGATGGGACCACAGTGTTGAAAGCCCTAGACAATGACATGTGGGTCCAGAGGGGCAGCAGCTCAGAGCAATAGTCTGAGGAGGCTGGTGTTTCTTTGGTGGAGGGAGAGGGCACAGATGGCAATGGTGCTGCAGTTTATTTGAGGGTCACCAGCTACAGTGGGTCTGTGGGCTCTTCCCACAGTCGGGAAGCAAAGGAACAAGGACAGAGTTGGTTTTGGTGGGTGGGACGGTTTGACAAACTTGTGTGTAGAGCTATTGGAGGCTGGATGGTTTCTTTGTTTTAATCTTAAGCTATTTAATCTCCCATCAATAGCACCCTGAAATGAGGAGAAATTCCATGTTTTTACAGGGGCACCTGCTACCAGCACTAAAGCAATTCTGAGACCGACCACTGAGCTCCTTTGCTTTTCACAGTGGCTGTGGAATCAGCAGGACCAGATGAGATGGAATCTGTGAATGAGTGTGTTTGGTTTTGCTTGTCATTGTTATCTTACCCTAACTTTCTCTGTCTGAATAGTTCCTGTTTATCAAGAGTCATAAGGAGCCCGGGTGGCATGGCTCAGTGGCTGAGGGTCGACCTAGGAACCAGGAGGTCACAGTTCCTGATCAGGGCACAGGCCTGGGTTGTGAGCTTGAGCCCCAGTGTAGGGTGTACAGGAGGCAGCCGATCCATGATTCATTGATGTTTCTCTCTCTCTCCACCTCTGAAATCAATAAGAATATTTAAAAAAAAGAAAAAAAAGAAAAAGAATGAACAAGGATATCTAGAAGGTAAAGCCTCAGGCTTCCGGCTGAGAGAGGGAGCACGAGGAAGGCAGGACAGAGGACGGGTCTGAGGAGCAGCAGCCGGTGGCCAGGCGGGGCAGCCAGACCCTGGTGGTCTCCTTGCAGAATGCGCTCTGCACCATTACATGTTGCTTTCCAATGCAGACGTGTGTAAGAACTTAATGCTGTGCAAGATTCTTTTGTCAGAATACCTTTTGTTTATACTTCCATGAAGATTGCTTTAATTCGTCTAGGTGAAGAGGCCTCGCCATGTAAATATGTATCATAGGAATTCCTGATTTCACTGTGAGATCTCTAACTTTTGAGTGGCAAACAGATCAACAAGTCGTCTGCTCATGGACTCTTCTGTGGGGTTGTTACAATACAAAAGCTTTATTTTTTTTAATAATGACATATTACGTTAGATGGTATGGGTCCTTCCCTGCTTCCCCCACCAGGACTGCCTCCGTGTGTGGATTGCCACCAGCGTTCAGACCTAGAGCGGGATTTTCCCCTTCTCTGCTCGGACATCCTGCTTTCTGTTGCCCAGACACAGGTTGGCAATCACGTGACCCGCGTTGGTTTCTCAGTGCTTTCTGTTGGTTTGATGAGGTGGATTTCAAACACAGTTGCTGTGCAAAGGTCAGTAGTCTTCTTCAAGAAGAAAACCAACTCCTGTTTCGTGTCCATAGAGACGCTTCACCCATCGCTTCCCTTTCAGTCAGGCCAGGGTCAGCAGGCACTGCCGCTCTGTCTGGCTGGCTGTGTGAGTAGTAACGCATTGTCAGATGTCCCGGTGGAAAACGTCTTCCCAGTGGCCTGCCTTCATGCTTCCTTCAGACTTTTGTTGAGAGACCAGCTGTGCACTGGGTGTTGTGTGTATTGTGTACATGTATCGATTCATCAGTTATTCATTGTAGACCAAATGTAATCATAAATGAAATTGCTGAATTATTGTGAGTTTTTTGAATTGTAAATAGATTTCCAGTGTACTCTTCATTGTCTGCAGCCTTTTTTTTATTTTTATTTTTTAAAGGTATAGTTGGGTCCATCTCATACAATGTTTTCGTTACAAGCAGAAAGTAGAATTTGATTAAACCAGGTTTCAATACTCCATATTGAAAGGAGTACAATTGAGATTGTAGATTAAGATTGTTAACCATACGTGACGGTTCTAGCTTGACTATTTTAACCTATTGTATACAATCTGATTTTTAAAATTGTAGACATGTATGATCTTGGTTTAATGTGTTTTTAAAAGTGTTATTGTTAAAAAAAAAAAATAAAAAAAAAATAAAAAAAGAAGCAGATCTGCTAAAGAGCTGTCGTTTCTCATCCCTGACTGTAGAATACACTGTTCTCTGTATACTGTGTGTTATTTCCGCCAGCTGCTGCATTCGCCTTCAAAGGTATTCGGAAACTTAAGATGAGTTACATTTCTTGCAAAGTATATGCCTTTCTGTGGTATTTTGTCCTGTAACTGAAGTATAGTAATTATTTCATGGAAATGTTAGCACATATGTACCAACTTTGAATAAAATGAGAAGTGGACATTTCTGCGGCTGAGTGTTTTCGGTGTGAACATGTGTCCTTTGCAGCGTGAGGGCAAGGGGGGGTCTGTACCGGTTCCTGTCCTCGGCCCGGCCTGGCCCCAGGGAGCGCCGCCCTCCGGGGACCGCCACGGAGGTGTGAGCGTGGGCTCGCAGGCACTGACAGACCGAGGTGCATGTGGCTCAGTGAGTAAGTGAAAATATCCTTCGTGTTCTCGACCTACGGTGTGAAAGGAAGCTGTGAGAAGAGTGGGAGGGAGCCAGGCATCCACCGAGCCTCCCAGGAGCTCATGCAGTGCTGGGCCACGCTAGCTCCGGCGTTTCTCTGACCACCGTTTCTGGCTGTGAGCCTCAGCCCCGACATCAGCCCCTGTCACTCAGTACACGGGCACATTCCCTGCGATAAGGACAGTCACCATGCAGATGCTGTACAGTACCAACATCTGGAAGGTAATAGTGATACGTTTTAAATAGGTATTTCAAGTTGCTTTTCAATTAGGTCCTTTTATATATAGCACAGCTTTTTTTTTTTTTTTAATAAAAATTTTTTTTTTAAGTTCAGAGGCCAGTCTGTTGCATGTAGTGTTTTCAAGTGTCTGATCTGGGTGGTTCCTCAGTCTGTCTCGGGCATTGAGGTGTTTGACGTTTGGAGGACGGTCCTGTGACCGCCCTCCGTTTGGATCAGTCACTGAGTTTGGCCGGGAAGACGGCATGAGCACCGTGTCTTGCTGCTTCACACAGGGTGGGGGCCGCGCTACCCGCGCGGGTGGCATCAGGTTGATGCTTGGTTTAGATCAGCGTTGCCAACCTTTCGGACCTCAGGACCCACCAGTGGTCCACGGCTTCTCCGCTGTCACCTTCCTCCTTCCTTTTCGTCATAAGTCTCTGTGGGGAGTTCATTGGCTACTATGAGTAACGTGTTCCTCATTGGACTCGAATCCCTGCCTTCCGCATCCATTGGTAATTCTTGCTTATCTTATGATGATGATGATGCCAAACTGAGTTTTTAAGGTTTGGGGAGGATAATTCTGAGGCAATTGCTTTCCCCCTTTGCATGTGGCCTCCGAGTTGAATGTGGACCCCAGGTGATGCTGCCGCTCTTAGAGACTGTGGGGTGAGAAACAAACCAGGCGAAATGAGGGTGGCCACGCTGTCTTTCCTCCCAGTTCTCTCGGTTCATGGTCATGGCCGGGGCGGGGCTCTGTGAAGGCCTCGTGTGTCTCCGGTTCCAGAAGCCCGTGGCTCCCACAGTCCGGTGTGCTGTGACATTCCCTGCACGTCCACTGTTTCACTTTTTATTCTGGTCCAAGAATCCATTTAGATGTTTGGAGGCACCTTTATGAGTCTCGCCATGTCTTCTTTTCTGTTGTCTTTCACCTGCTTACTCCTGGTTCCTTAACTTGCAGCTGCTTTTGATGAAGAAGCTGTGTGCTAGCTTCCTTATGCACCTCTGCCTCTCCCACCCCCACCCCCACCCCCACCCCAAAATGTCGCTGCGTTCCTCTGCAGCAGAGACCCTGCTTGTCCTCGGATCTCATGCCTTGGCTCCATCCTGGCTTCCTGGCAGCTGGTTAGGTGCAGGGAGAGCTGGTACCTCTGTCTTCCCTTTCCCCGTTGGCCCGTGTGTCCCTCAGACCTTATGGGGCGCCTGTGCCTGTGTATCGTGGCCTGCAGTGAGGGAGCAGGATGCCGCCTGGAGGGCCTCTGCGGGAAGGAGGGGTGCTCCCCATAGTCACACTGCAGGCCGGGGGATGGAAGGGACCCGTTGGGGCTGCAGAGGAGGGCGCTGCAGAGGGGGGTTGGGTTCCTGTAACGCACAGCCCCTCACCTGCCTTCCGCCACCACTTGAATGAAGGAAGCACCACTGGGCGGCCCAGCCGGTGGACACGCCTTCGGCCTGTTGTCCAGCTCGTATGCAAATCCGACTTTTCACAGCCTGCGTTTCTGGTTCTGCCCCTTTAGACCAGTCAGCTAACTGGTCTTTTTGCTGATCCCACAAAGGTGTCTAGAAGACTCACCAGGTCTGAGTAGAATTTTCTTACAGCCCTTTGGTCATGAGAGAGGCGGAGCCTTTGCTGACTCTCCTCCCTGGTCTCCTGTCACTCCCTCCGTGTCCTCTTCCCGCTGCAGGAGGCGGAGAGCTCAGGCGCAGGCAGGCTGAATTGTGCATGGAGAGCCGTCAGCAGGACAGGCAGCTGGGTGTCCACCTGATGCCTGCTCTCCTATCCGTTTCACGGGCTCCGGCATTTCATTTACCCGCTGCCATAGGAACGGGCCTCCTGCCAATCTGTTCCTGGCTCCGTGCTCATCTGTAAGCGCATCTGGAGGGGCGTGGGGAGGGTGGAATGGAAACCTCCCGGGAACAGATGGCGGGTTCGGGAATGCCTTCCGATGAGGAAGCAGGGGCTCCGTGGTCTGCCGTTGCCTGCCGGGGAGGTGGTATCAACCAGTAGTCACCTGCCGGGTTGTCATGGCTCTTTCACATTCAAGGGGGGTTCTTAGTGTCGGGAGCAAAGGGGAGACTATGACCCTTCAGTCAGAGCTGGAGGAGATGGTTGCTGAAAACCCTCCACAATCCTTACCTCGGGGGGATGGAAGCCAAGCACCTTCCTTCCGGAACGTGGTTCTCACCTTGGTGTGCACCTGGGCTGGAAACAACTCCATTGGCCAAGATTTTTGAAACCCAGGCCAACTGAGGAGAAACCTCCGAGGGTGGGCGCAGGCATATGGCTTCCAGAGCTCCCTCAATGATCCCCGTGTGTGCGATGCCACCCGTGTCCGCGGACTTACCAATCCTGAGGGGAACCGGCCCCAGACCTGACCGAGAATGACCTCCAAATGGCACTCCAGCCTGGAGAGCTCGGACACAGCGGGCTAAGAGGAAGAAAGCTGTGTGGCTGAGCCACAGATCTGTGTTCATCCAGACACGGTGACTGGCAGCTGGTAGCTTCAGGTCCACGCGGCCGGCCGCCCTTGCTCTGGGCTCCTGGAAATGTGTGTGCCAGCCTTTGGTGTGGTGCCGGCATTCCTGTCTGAGCTCCTGGGCAGCAGGGCCCCTCCAGTGCCCCTGCGCTGGGGAGGAGGCAAGCCCGCTCACCTCTGAGGCTTCTGCCTGCCTTGCAGCTGGGGCCACGGCACGGCCATCGGCTGCCTCTGCGCCCGCGCCCTCAGCGGCTGGCGCGTGCTTGGCATTGATCTGGGCTGGGCTCAGCCACGGGCTCCTGCTCTCGGATCTTCCTCTCCTCCCAGCCTGCTCTGGGCTCCTATTGTCATTACTGTCCTTGAAGAATACACTTTGTTAGGTCTCCTGGGTCTCCAGACAGTCCTGGTCACGTGGCCTCTGAATGAGCAAGCTCCTCTCACTTCCTCCTCACCTTGTTCCATTCCGTTGGCTGCCTGACTCCAGGGCGAGGGGTGCCCGGCCCTGACTCAGACTCGTTTCCCCAATTCTCGAGAGGTGGAGCCGCTGCAGTGGCAGCCCCCCAATGCCAGAGCACGGCCACGAGGCTCTCCGTAACCACTGAGCCGCCCCGCCCTCTGGTCGGAGCACCTCCCGCAACCGGGGGCGGAGCCGGTGAGGGAGGGCGCAGTGCTGAGGCGGAGGGTGGGGCCCTAGCGCAGAGTGCCTGTTCTGGCATCTGCTGTAAGGGCACTTGGCATGGGTGGAGGGGAAGCAGTCCTTAAAACAAGACTCCATCTGCCCACAACAAGTTAGTCCCTGAAGTGCCTTTTCATTGCTCGCTAAGTAAATCGGATAACAAAGTGTTAAAAAGAATATTTACTACCTATCAGGCGTCTTCAAACTTTTTAAAGTGGGGGCCAGATCACGGTCCCTCAGAGAGCTGGAGGGCCGGACTATATGAACTACTAATTCCTACTGTAACACCTCGGCTGCGCTCACTGCCCAAAAAACCTGGCGGGCCGGATCAGACTCCTCTGCGGGCCGTATGTGGCCCGCGGGCCGTAGTTTGAAGACGCCTGAAGAGGAAGCTGATAACGTTTGGTGCGTGTTCACCCAGACTTCCTCTTTGGTGTGCACGCCATTAACACTCTCCTTTGGAGAACAAAAGAGGTGGACTCGCATGCTGATCGTTTATTATAGAAGTGTTTTCATGTCAGCACGTCCACCTCAACGCCCTGTGTCAATGGCTGCTCAGGACGGTCCAGTCAGTGAAAATAGGGCACTGAACCGGCTCCTGTTAGCGGATGGCTGCCTTGTTTCCACTTACCCCCCCGTCCCAGTGACATCCCCACAGTTAAATCCTGTGCCGGGGGCATGGCCCGTTCAGAGTGAATCTAGGGTGAGTGGGATTGAAGGCGCACACGTTTAAACTAGTCTTTATTGCTAAATTGCCCTCCAGAAGTTTGTTTTTACCAGTGCAGTGACCTGCAGATGGAGGAAACGCAATAGCTAGCTTCAACTATCCGCAGGGTCACTGTGCAGAAACATGTTTTACTGGATCCCAGGGTTAAAGAGGGATCGAAGGGTAGAATTAGAGGGACACGAGCCTTCCTGTAACGAGAACACCTCTGGACCCCACAGCACAGACAGGCCACCGCCACTGGGTCCCTCTCACTGGGCAGGCGGCAGGCCCAGTGACTTCCTCCTGAAGTCCGTCCTCCTACAGTCCCGCCCAGACTGACTTCCAGGCCCGCCCCACCCCCACTCCTCATCCCGGAGTCGCTCTGGAATGAAATGCTTTTGTGGAAAGACGGGCTGCACGGCAGTGAGGACGCATGGCTGCAGTCGGTGGGAGAGGTCTGCCCCAGCCTGTCTGTGCAGACACAGCCTTAGGGAACGCTCGGTTCCGGCAGCTCCCGGCCGCGGTGCCTGCTCACACGTCCAGGACAGCCCACGGGGCCAGCAGCCTCAGCTGGGTCACTGCCTGCCACCTTGCGCTCTGCCCCCATCGCTGTGTCCCAGTGCGGAGTCTTCTCTCCCTGGGTGATGGGACTCATGGCGGGAAGTGTCTTCCTCTCAACCCCCCATCCTGACCTCCGCCCTGGAACGCCTGGCTCTTTCCTCGGGCACCTCACCCTCTGCGCCTCCCAGCCTGGTTGCTTGTCCTCCGTGTCTCCTCTGTCTGGAGCCTCCCCGCCGCCGTGCGCTCCCGCCAGCGCTGCCCTGTGCTGCCCGCCGCTGGCCCTGCCCGGTGTCCGCCCTCCCTCTGAGTGCGCTCGGGAGGGCAGGGGGCGCTCCTTCGGCCTCCTGGGGTCGCAGTCCCCCCGCGCTTCTGGGGGAACGCCTGCCAGGGCTGTGGTTTTGGTGGGATGGGCTGGGTCCTGCCAAAAGGATGCTCGCCCCTGGAGCTGGATTGGGAGCCGTGGGACCAGGCCCGGCCGTGACCGGCGCTGCTGCATCCCGGCCAGGGCGCCCGGAAGAGCCACCCAAAGCTCCTGCCTCCGACCCGGAGCTGCTTCCCCGAACCCCGCCGGCTGCGCTGATTCCCTCCGCACCCGTGAGCTCTCGCTTTCTTTACAGCAACGTCTCCCTCTCTCTGTCTCCCTCCTGCTCTCTCCCTCTCCCTCTCTTTTTAATTTAAGATAGTCCACGTTTCTGTAGCTCTGACCCAAGGTTTCTCCCAGTAGAGCTGTGCTGATTAGAGCTGACAGACCCGGTCATTCCAGTCCTCACGTTGGTTCTGATGTGTTTTTTCCTTCTTTTTAAAAACAAACGAAACAAACAGCCTGAGACCGCGGCTGCGCTGAAGCGGACGATAGAAGCCCTGATGGACAGGGGCGCGGTCGTGCGGAACCTGGAGAACCTGGGGGAGCGGGCGCTGCCATACCGGATCTCTGCCCACAGCCAGCGGCACACCAGAGGAGGGTGAGTCCTCGCGGCCGGAGGGGGCGGGCCTCTGAGAAAGGCTGGGCCTGCCGCCGGTGCGTGCAGCTGCCCGGCCGAGCAGCGTGTGGCGATGCCGGCCCAGCCCTGTGGTCAGTACAGACACAGGTCGGGCTGGGAGCACAGGCGTTCAAGCTTCCGACTGGGAAATGTTTCCTTGTCACCCTCTGCATCGCTGTTCCACGGGGCCTCGAAAAGACCTGGCGAGCAGTGTCATGCACGTGCTCAGTGCATCCTTCGTGGACGTGCAGGTTGCAGACAACAAGCCCAAGGTGCCCCCGACTGCGCCTCACCCAGCGCCCAACCCCGGCATCCGCTCCGCCACTGGCACAGCTCCTGGTGAGGACTGGTCACACAGTGCAGGGCGTCCCAGAAAGTGCACGCACAGCCTGGCAGCCGAGAGCGCCGTCTCGGAAATGAGATGTACTTGGATAAACACGCCTTGTTAATTGCTCAGAGTGTGTGTACATTATTGGGGCACCCTATATATAACCACTTCCTCACAGGCCGAGGCTTGCGTCTGCAGGAGGAGAACAGAGTTGCGGAGAATTCTCTGAGCCCAGTCGGTGGAGCTGGTAGGAAGCTTTCGGAGCCCTGGTTGCTGGCTGGAGGGGGCAGCGCGAACCGCTGTCTCCCTGGAGGAGGGTGGGAAGGCGGAGGCGGACGTTCATGCGATGGAGGGTCCCTGGGCAGGCGGTGGGCCGGCCGCCCCTGAGGCTCTCTCACTGCGTTCCCCCTGCCGAGCCGGCCCCGCCCGCTCCCCTGGCGGCCGCACCTGTGTGCTGTGCTCTGCTGCCCACACACACCTCTGCGGAGCGCCTGAGGCGTTGCTAGGCAACGTGCGTGCACAGTGGCTATTCCTCCTGCTCCGTCATGGTAACGGGGCAGGTGGAGGTTGTGCGTGTAACGTTAAAAACACGGTCACCACGAAGGGGTTTGGCTCGAACAGCAAGGCTACTGCGTGTGGCTCCGCTGCCTCCGTCTAGAGAGACCTCGGGGTGGGGGGGGGGAGGGGTCGGGTTCTCTGGGGAAGGCACTGCCCGGGGAGTCAGGGTGTGTGTGTGTGTGTGTGTCCGTGCTTTCCGGTGTGCAGCGGGGAGTCGGTGTGTGTGTGTGTGTGTGTGTGTGTGTCCGTGCTTTCCGGGTGTGCAGCGGGGAGTCTGTGTGTGTGTGTGTGTGTGTGTGTCCGTGCTTTCTGGTGTGCAGCGGGGAGTCGGTGTGTGTGTGTGTGTGTGTGTGTGTCCGTGCTTTCCGGGTGTGCAGCGGGGAGTTGGTGTGTGTGTGTGTCCGTGCTTTCTGGTGTGCAGCGGGGAGTCGGTGTGTGTGTGTGTGTGTGTGTGTGTGTCCGTGCTTTCCGGGTGTGCAGCGGGGAGTCGGGGTGTGTGTGTGTGTGTGTGTGTGTGTGTCCGTGCTTTCTGGTGTGCAGCGGGGAGTCGGGGTGTGTGTGTGTGTGTGTGTGTCCGTGCTTTCTGGTGTGCAGCGGGGAGTCGGGGTGTGTGTGTGTGTGTGTGTGTGTGTGTCTGTGCTCTCCCCTGCCCTTCGGGGAGGACGCAGGAGGGTGTCACAGGGAGGCCGGTGTGACCAGCACTCTCCGGGCGGGTGGCGCTGCCGGGCCCGAGCACCGCCCCCTGGCAGCTGTGTCCACGCGGGCTGCCTCCTCGTGGGCGGCACAGGAAAACCCTGGGCCGGAGCCGGAGCCGAGAAGGCAGCATCGCCGTCCCTGGTCCTGCGTGGCGCCCGCAGCCCGAGCTCCTGCTGCGGCCCCTGGCTCGCTCACCAGAGGCTCCTGCTCCCCTCGCTCCCACTGCGTGCTCAGGAGCGGAGCTGCGCCCAGGAGCCTCTCTGACGCTTGTTTTCGGGTCCATCGGTGTCTGGTGCTGTGGGAGGCGGTGCTCCCCAGCGAGTGGCCTGTGACGTGCTAGCTCCACAGGCCGCCAGGGGCATGTCTGCCTCGGGGTGCGGGACCTCACACGGCCGGTCTCACCGCCCCGGAGCCCCGCACATGGTCAGCAGCTCTTCCTGAGCCGCCGGCGGCCATGCCTGGATCCCGGCGGCCCTGACCGCCCCGAGGCTGCTGTGTGCGCGCTGTGTGTGCGCGGCGTGCGCGCTGCGGGGGGAAGAGGTGGCGCGGACTCCTGGCCTCGGTGGCTCCTGTGATGTCGTGGTCGCTGAGTTCCAGTTGCAGTTGCTGCTGAGGGCAGGACCCACACAGGTTCCCGCCCGCTCCCAGCCAGGCTGTCAGGACGGCCCCTCGGGGGGGGGACTGCCTCTGCTATTCCCCACCCCCCTTCCCCCATCACGCCTCGGCCGCACACGTGCCATGCCGGTGCAGAGGGCTCCCGTGGGAGGGACCGTGGCTGGGCTCGGCCCCGGAGGGCGCTGGGCCGCTGGAGGGGCACCTGCTGCTGCTGCTGCATCAGGCCACGCGTGCCGTTTGTGCAGAACTAGAAACACGGTCGTTACAGCCCAGGGTGCGTTTGGTCAGCCCGGGCAGGAGCAGGCAGCATTCCGGAACATCTGTCTGAGGCTGCTGTCCGTCCTGGGACCTGTTCCCGTTGGAACCGCCCGAGGGCTAACGCTCAGCCTCGGAGGTGACGGCGCGTGTTCTCAGTGCCGCCCTCGCTCCCGTGGCCCCTGGAGCCGGGCCAGGCCTCCTGGATCAGGGACCGTGGCACCTCCGCGTCACCTGAGAACTGACCCTGTTTCCAGGGAAGTCACTTCCCACGTCAGCTGTCCCCGGTGTGTGTGTTTAGGAATGGGGGCAGTGAGTATCGGGCCAGGCCGGGGTGCGGGGTGTGTGTGGCCAGGCTGGGGTGTAGGTGGGGGGGGCAAACTGGGGGGTGGGGGGACAGGGGAGTGCAGGGGGGTGAGTCTTCTGCCCCTGCTGCCCAGGTGTCTGGAGACCGGCCTGGGCGCGGGTTCAAGGAGGCCTGGTCCCTCCCTCTCGGCATTTGCTCCGGCCCCGTGGAGGCACCTAGATGTTCTCTCCGTGAGCCTGTGCTCCCGGGGCCTCCTCAGCCTGCGGCAGGAGCACCTCCCCGGCTCTGGGGCGAGACTGGCCGGCGCCCGGGCAGGAGGAGGCGGGAGGGGCGCTCACCTGGACGGCAGGATCTGAGCAGCCGCGGCGGCAGCAGCACACAGTGCTCCCCCTGCGCGTGCGGCCCAGGCTCTCCCTCCGGGGATGGTGCTGGGCGGGAGCAGAGGCGCGTGGCCAGCCCGGGCCGGCCGGCGTGGCTGACGGAGCACAGGCCCGGGGGCTCTCCTCCCTGCCGTGCCGCTTCTCGTCTGCTCTGAGACGGGACCTGTGTGACAGCGCAGCCTGGCTGCACGCAGGGGCTGCCCTCCGTACGGTCACGGCGATCGAAGGAGCTGCTCTGGGGAGCACTGCGACCTGGCTGACTCCTCCGCACTGTCTGCAGCCGCTCCCAGAGCTGGCACCAGCCCCGGAGACGGACACCCTGCTGTGGTCTCCCCAGCGGCCCCGTGTTCCCGTGCATTCCCGTGTGTTCCCATGACCCATCGTTTCCACGTTGCCATTCCTTCCCGTGTCCCGTGCACACCCATGTCCCGGGCATTTCCGTATCTTGTGCATTCCCATGTCCCATGATGGCCTGCAGCCCCGTCCCATGTGTGTGCAGGCTCCCGGGCTCGCAGGGCAGGCTGCAGGCCCGGGTGCTCCGGGGCCGGGCCAGGTGTGCGGAGCCTGCAGCCGGGCCGTGCTTCCCGCGGGGCCGGCAGACGTGAGAGGAGCGGCTGTCCGGGCGGAGCCTGGCCCTGAGGTGGGGGCTCTGCGCGGGGGAGCTGGCTTCGCGGTCCGACCCACAGATCCAGGACTGGCATCCAGACAGTCTGTTCTGTCTCCAAAGGCTCCGAGATGCTTTGGCTCCAAACCCCTCCCTCCCCTCCCCTTCTCTCTCCCTCCCCTCCCCTCTCCTCCCACCGCGAGCCACCGAGAGTTCAGTGGAAATTTCCGCCGTGTGCTGGGGGAAGGGAGGCGGTGAGCGAGTGTGTGACTGTGTGACAGACAAAGAGCCCAACTCATCCAGGCAGCGTGCGCTCTGGAAACCTGTAAACACGGCACTGGTTGGAGTGAAAAGCCAGCACGGCCTGGACCGGGAGCTGTGCAGGGAGACCTCCCCCCCCCAGCACCGGCCGGGGCCGGGGGCCGGGGGCCGGGGCAGGGCTCATGTCCGATCGGGGTCGGTGAGGCCAGGGGAGAGGGCAGAAGGCCGCCGGGGGGTGTTCGCGGTGGCCCCTCCGCTTGGTTCACGGGCCCGGGAAGCCAGACCCGGCCGTGGGACTCCGTGTGCTTCTGAGAAATAGGAAGGTGGGAGGTGTCATCGTGACCTGTGAAACCCCGTCCCCCCGCGGGGGGCACGCGTCTGGGCGAGGAACGCGCTGGGGTCCGAGCCCTGTCCTTCCTTCCTCCCCGAACAGCCTCTTTGTGCCAGTGCCAGTGCCAGTGCCCAGGCGGTGCCGCCGGAGCTCGGTGCCGCCCACGGCTCCCGTGGGTGGGCGGCCTGGCCAGAGCGCACGTGGACAGCGCCCTTCGCGCCCGCCACCCGTGCCAGCCGGCGCCTCGCCCGTCCGCCGAGCGGTGGTGAGGGGCTGGGTGGGCAGCAGCAGGTCTTAGGTGCCACGCTGGCCGCTGGCCGAGGGAGGAGGGAGCGGCTGTAGGAGAGCTTGATTACTTGTTGGATTGGAAGGCCAGTTTCGGGGGGGCACAGGGGGGCAGTAATTCTAGACTGTTCCCTGGAGTGGGAGCGTGTTGTGAGGAGGGAGGGAGGAGGGGTCCACGGGGCGGTGACCTGGGTCTGGGTGGCTGTGCTGCCTGCTCGGTGCCATGATGAAGCACTTGGGGCTGCATGTGGTCTCGGACCCTGGATCCTCCCCTTTCCGGGCGGAGGGAGGGGGGCAAAGGGCTCGCAGCCTCTGGAAACACCAGGCAGGCCCTGTGGCCCCGGAACAGCAGCTCGTCTGCA